ATCTTACAATTTGATTGGTCGATCGGCCAATAAAATCACGAGATGATCGCCAAAATCTAACCAATCACAATGAAAGTTCGCTATACTGCCGGCCATTCAATAATTGTCATTCTTGTATATCATCATTTAATGATTCTAATTTTAATAAATTGAAAATGATCCTTTAAACAATAAGCCGGCATATTACTATAGTGTCTAAGCCCTGAATTTTATACTCACCACCTTAATTGATGCGAAAAGAATGAAAAATAAATAGGAGGCATTGCGCAGAATAATATATACTTCAAACAATAAATAATCTTTAAATTATGTAAATAAAAATGCTAATTAGTGATGAGACTACCGAGTTGTTAGTTAATAGTAAAACAATTATTAATTAGTTAATAATAGTTAGTAATAGTTAATAATTTCGGTAATTGTTAAAAATTGTTATGCAAACATTTTAATAACTGTATATGTATGTAATTGTTTGAATCAAAATCCCGGAAAATCATCCTGATAAACAATTCTGACAACCAAATTCCCAGCAAAATTAATTAGAATTCAGCTAACACTAATGCTAATGCTAATGCTAACCAATGTAGACAAAGTTGCCAGGAATTTGGTTTTGTCAAGATTCTATTCTCAAGATTTTGATTAGTCTTTGTTTTAATTGTTTACAAAAAAATAATAAATGTTAGTAATATAACATCCAGGTTTGTTAAAACTTTTGCACTGCTAGTATTCAAATGTCATCTCAACATAAATTTGAAAGAAAAAAAAAACCAATCTGGCAGTGGTTCAAGAAAGGTGATAAGCTTAATAGTTCACACTATTTAGCTCAATGTGATTTTTGCAAAACAAATTGCCCTAGTAAACCCTTAAAAATGGAAAAACATTTATTAAAAAAGTGTGAAGATATTAGTCAAGATGAACATGATAGTATTAGTGATATTTTAAAAAATACAAAAGTAAAAAAGTTATGAAAAAATAACTTATCATTTCAAACTGATATTGATGATAATACAGACACAAATAATAAACAAGAAATTGAATCTATTTCATTATCTATTGGAGAAAAAGCATCTATTAATCATCAACTGCTTAAAGCATTAATTTCAGCCAATGCACCATTATCATTTGTAGAGGATGCTGAAGTAATTAAATTAGTTCATATGTTAAGACCTGAATATAAGCTTCCATCTTGTAAATGGATAAGTATAGATGTTTTGGATAATATACATGAAAATATACAGTGTAACATTCAACATTTTATATCTAACTCAATGTTTTTAACATTATCCGGTAACGGTTGGATGAATGTTTCAAAAAATAGTATGCTAAATTTTATTGTAACGAATGAAAAGCATGAAAGTCAAATTTTTAAAATAGATAATTATTCTTATTTATGTCATACAGGTGATAATATATTTAAAATATATAAAGAAATTGGAATGAATCTTGGTTTAGACAAATAGATAGCATTTATTTTGGATAGCAGGCCTGATTTCAAAAAGGCATAATACCTTATACATGAGGTAAATACAGTAATTATAATTTTTTTTTATAAACTATATTAATTCTATTGTAATGCATATTATAGGATCATGATCTTGGTGGTAAAATTTTAACAATCCCATGTATAGTACATCAAACTAACTTGTTGGTTAAGAAGATAGTCAAATCATTATTTTTTAAACCTGTTATTAAAAAGATGTTAATAATTATCAACCATTTTTGAAATTCAAATATCGTATTATCTAAATTAAGAGAATTAACTTCTAATGAAACTTTAAAATCGCAATATCCATATATTATCTGTTGAACAATATTTACAAAAGTATCAGAAACTATATTACAAATTCAAATGAGTTTGAAGGTAAATTTGGAGTGCATTACAATTAGATTTGTCCATATTTATATATAAAACATATATTATAATTTATACTTATAATATTTTTAGATTATCACGCTTATACAATGATAACAAATTCTGAATAAATCTTGAATTATTTCATGCATTATTAAAACCGTATGATTATGTTATAAAAATTCTTGAAACTGAAATGGCTACATTAGGTCAAGTGGCTGCATCATGGGCCTGGCTTCGTGGAACTATTTGTAAAAACTCACTTACTAATAATGATTTTTAAACCTCATTAATTCTTGAAATTGATAATCATTGGGAAAAAATTTATAATCCGGTTTATTTAATTACTTGGTTTTTTCATCTATATCATCTTGGTAAGAGACTAAATCCAACATGGTTTTTATATATTCAAGAAACTGCATACGGCTTGTTTTGTTCTTTTTATCCAGATCATAATCAGGATAAATTTATCGATGAATGGTTAAATTATGCAAGTCAAGAAGGTCAATTTTCAGTATCATCAATTCAAAGTTCAAGCTTTACAAGATTTCCACTATGATACTGGTGTACTATGCTTTACGTAGTATCAAATTTAAGTGAATTTGCCTGTCGTCATTTGTTAATTCCACCTAACTCTGCAACTTCTGAACGGGTATGGTCTTTATTAGGTAATATACATTATAATCAATTATTACCATCACGGGCTGCAAAAATGGCACAAGTATCTTGGTATATAAGTCAAAAATCTAATCCTAAAAAAAAGAGTCAAAATTTCAAAAAGCATGTATTAAATGAGATGAAAAAAATACTTTAAATAACAATAATGATAATGATGAAAATGAAGGTGATGATGAAAATGAAGGTGACAATGTAGATGAATTTATGGCTAATTTAAATCAAATATCCAACAATTTGATAGATGATATTCATATACAGTCTTCCCCCTTTATAGTCACCCTCTATATAAGCACATCATATAAAAACCTCTTTATAAGCACATTTATTTTAAAACCAACTATTATAAACATATAGAAAAAAAACCTCTATATAAGCACAATACTGTATAAGCACATTTTTTAAAAAAAGTTACTATGATCTCGACAGTGTGATTATAGAAAGGGAAGACTGTATATGATTTAAATAGTGAAGAAACTATTCCAATGCTCAAAGATATTTTTGATTCAAAAAGTATTGAAAAATCATTAAATTTTTACATTCAACAATCGTATGTATAGATTATTTTAAGTTCAAATTTTAGTAGTTATAAATTTGCTTTGACTATATCAATAAATATATATAGATTAAAAATTCTACGCAAATTTATTAAAAATTGATAAATTTGCTTTCTAAATGATAATAAAATAATAATTTACCCAAGTTCATAATTTTAAACATTTTTCTCTCTTAATCTTGCTAGCAAATATAAATATTGTACTATATTTGAGCATTATTTTGAGAAAATATTGTGTATCAACTTTCGCAAATTAACTGCGCCACGATTATTAAGTAGTTATTAGTTAATAACTTGGCTAATTAATTAATAATCATTATTAATTATTAAGTAATAATCTGCATGTGATCAACAGTATTTTTATATAGAAATTCAGAGCAATTACGGTAAATCAATTGTAACTTTAAAGCAAATCCCCGGCAAGTATAAAAGGGCAAGTACTTAAAATTTATTTAAAATTAACATAATATTTACGTAATACAATACAAAAAGAGGTATTTTTTCAAACTAGTATAAAAAAATGCACTATTAATTTGTGTGTTTTTGATTTTATTTTGAGGCAGCGACAAATTTCACTCACGAATAGATGATTTATAAATCACCAATTCTAAGAAATCTAAAAAAAAAAAAAAAAACATTTTTGTAATAAGATCATTACAAAGGTTCATAATTTTCTGTTTCATCTAAAGCCCGCAAGACCATAGCCTCCTTCCAACGATGTGAAAATCTGCTGATCCAATTTTGATTCATAGCCTCTTTAGGGATTTCATTATTTTCAATCTCTCCAGTTTGCGCGTGACGTATTAGCTCTTCTCTTATTTGTGGTGCCATTAATTTTTGTGATGGGTTAGCAGTACCTATATAGAACATAATCTCTAATAACTTTTTGATATAGGTAGTTATTTTTATTGTAGGTTGGCGCTTGCTTTTTCTTTCGTTTTCTTTCAATGCCCAACTATTAGTAAAAATAGTACTAAAAAAAAAAATTCAATTATTATAAATCAAATACAAATTTGATCTAATTAGGTAAGCTAATACCTTTTGACTTCACAAACATTATTAGTTTTCATTGGAATTGTCAGATCTATGATTTTAGAGTACTAACAAAAAAAAATTTTTTTTATTGATATATTATAAGTGTCATCAAAGGAAAGAATCGACCAGGGGGCTATAAAAATTACAGATTATATAAGTAGCACCACCTGCCATAGTTTTAGCAGACTAGAACAGTGCTACGTATTCCTATAAAAATTTTGAACCTGTATTGTATATTTGCAGATTGTAGCTAGGTGGCTCTACTTATATAACCTGTATTTTTGAGGGCCGCCCTGGTTGATTCAAAGAAAAACCTGTCATCGGGCTTTTAATTATATTTTGTACCGGACATAATCACTAATAAATCAAATAGATTAAGTCTGATACGAAAGCTCAATGACAGGTTTTCTTTTGAATATTTATATATACGTATTCATTTTCATCATAAGAAACTTCTAAAACTTGTGTGTATTGCAAATTACATAGGGGATTAGTTATTTCTAAAAATATATAAACATTTATTAGTAAATATTTGCGAAATATGTAAAAATAAAAGATCATTTGTTTTTTATTATACAGTAAGAAAAGAAATATCATTTTTTTATGTATAAAGATTGATTATTTTTATATATCAAAAATAATAAGTTCTCTTTTCTCACTGTAAATATTTAGATATATAATAGCATGATTATACTTTGGTTTTGGATAATTGGCATTGTCCAAGGTTTATGAGATTAAGTATGATTTGTTGAGTTAGGATTAGGCTTTTCAAATTTTTGTGATTTGGTAATATTGTTTAGATTAGCAAAAGACTATTCCTTCTGATCCCCTATTTCCAGTAATGCTCTTGTAGCAATAAATCTAATTTTTTTACTATCTGTGGACCATGTCCATTCTTGAAAATTTGAAATTCTAGCAATAGTTCCTAATTTTTTTTTTTGTTTTTCTTTTCTCAAATAAATTAGATAATTATTCAAATTCGGCAAAAAACAGGGTTCTGCAAGTGCTGGCACTTGCAGAACCCTAGTCAAGAAAATCCTATTTTACTTACTATCTGGGCAATCTGGTGTAATATTAGATATATAAGTACCTGCAATATTTTTTATTGCATTTTTAATATCATTACCCGAGTCAAGACTAAATCCTAATTTGATATATTGTTTAATTGCTTGTGATATCTGGATATGTAATCAAACTAATGTTAAAAGTTATATTTATTTTAAAACCAGATCTGAATACTACCTGTGCATGGTGTGAATTAATTGAAGTTTTGGCTTCACCAGCCTTTAAAAATATCTATTTTCGTGAAACAATATTGTACTATTCTTTCTAGTGTTCTAATATCAGCATTAACTCTGTGCAATAATAATAGGGACCATTATCAGATATAATGGTTATCCATTTAGGCTTATTCTCCATTGTTTCAAATATAGTATGTAAAGAAGATGCGGTAAACCATGTGTCTTGTTTGCTATCATCTAACCAATGATTATATATTTCTAAATTTAACTGATTTTTTGTAACATCTTTTGTATATACTAACACAGAATGCAAACTCCATCCATGTTTATATAAAAATCTTTCTTAGTCTCACGTGAGTGCTGGGGAAGTATTTTCATTTTAAAATTGACAATTATTACTGCATCATGGTTATCTAAATTATTAAGATTTATTTGAACATGTACATTTAGATAAGTTTTATGTGCTAAATGAGCTATCCAATTTATCAATTTGTTTTGATATTCTTTAATAGAATTATGTAAATCTAACCGTAATGTTTTTTTTAATTTATCAAATATTTTGAAAAAACTTTCACAACTTGAACAAATTATTGAATATTGTTGATCACAATTGCCAAATGCATAACAAAGACAGTGGCCAATACATGGATCATATATTGCAACTCCCATACTAGTTACTTTGAATTGTTTGGAAAACTTATGACGAATATAATGTCTTAATTCTTGCATCTCAGTTTGTAATTTTTTCTATTTATATGAGATTATTTATATTAAAATTTATACTTGTGATATTAATTCTTATTTTAACTATAATACCTGCAAATTACTATCTTTAATATGAGCTTTAATTAAAACTTCTATATCATTAAATACCTCATATCCGCATTCATTACATGTTGAATATAATCTACCTGATAAACAAATCGACTACCTTGCAGGCAAGCCATAAAGGTTGTTCGACCCATACTATTAGGATATTGTTTATGAAAACGTTCTCATAATGCTTTTTTATGATCTTGTAAGTACATTATAGACAATCCAGTTTTGCTATCACTTTTATATAAGCTCATATTAACAATTGATTTATTTGAAAAAAAATTTTCGAATTGATTTATTTGCTCTGGTTTTAACTTCAAACATCTAATAATTAGCTTTTTTAATGGAGGAGCACTATAACCATTAACACGTGCATGTTGTCAGGCTTCTTTTATAGTATGTGTACCAACCTTGATTTGAAATTATTTATTAGAAATTATTTATGGGTTTTATATAAAAAAAAATAATAATTTCTTACATTTAACTGCTTCTCTATTTCTGAATAAGTAAAATCTGAAGCAATTATCGAAAGAATACATCATTTTTCATCTCTAGTTTTTTTGTTTGTAGCTAATACATGATTAAAGCATGACCAAAATGTTTGAACAATATTTGGTATACGAATAGGTATTGAAATAAGTAATCCGATTTTATAAAGATTCGCTATTGATTCTAAATCACTTGTGGGTAGATTAGATTTTGTCCATAACTCAAGCTAATAAATTACTTTATTAGTTCAATTTAGTTTTTTTTACTTATATATTTTATGTGTCAAATTAATATCTGCGCAGATTTATTCTGTTAATATCCGCCCTTATCCTAAATTAGACTCTTACTCTAATCTTTTGAACTTGAAATTAATTTAATATACATGTGTGTAATATTTTACCTTTGATATATCTTGTAGCCAAGGTGTAATATTTGTATAGCCTGACGCATGTAATATAGCCTTTCATGCTCTTAGTTCTCGTTCGTCGAAGTAATAATCGGGTGGATAAATTTTTTTTAATTCTTGATATAATTCGATTATTCCATTTTTACTTGCAGACCAATTTTGAAAAAAGCTATACCATTGAATTGAAGCAATAGTTCTACATTTTAAATGATAATCAAATATCAATTTCATAATTGCGTATTCTTACCATTCATTAGAATTACTAGTTGGAATACAATTAGTTAAAATAAAATTTTGAATAATTTCATTGTGCAAACCAAAAAAGCAAATTTTATTGAATTCTTTGATAAACCCTAATTACATCTATACATCGTTTGAAGAAGTTCCTATAAACTTTTTTTGACACCATGATTCTTGATATATTTTAACTATGCATGTATTGTTTGTCATAGATGATACAAATATTGCTTGTTTTTTCAAATACATATGAATCAATGAAGATTTATACTCAACCCCAGCATTACACCAATCGTTACATGATGAATTACCAACACTATATTCAAATAACTTGTATTTACCCACTATATATGAAACTGAAAATAATAAAACATCGCTTATTAATTGTTGTACAATTTTTTTTTGATTTCACTCAAGAATAACAGAACCAGAATAACGGGTTTGATTATCAAATACATGCTTGTATACAGTAGAAATTGCATTAGTCAGATTAGAAGATATAGTATGATAACCTCCTGATTCGTAACAATATTTAGAAAAAAAATTAGCTTTATTTCCTCTTTAAATAGTAAGATAAAAAAACTGATTATTAAGGTTGACTTTTATTTTAAAGCCAAGTCGAATAGGAAAATAAAACGGGTCATCAATGTCAGTATAAAGTTCCTACCAATAATATAAGTAGGGTCCGTAATGGAGCTCTTCAACAAGAAAGCCTTTTTCTAGTATAGAAATAGCAATCTGGCATGGTTGTTTAAACATTTTGGCATGATTACATTATTGTTAAAATCATTAAAATTAAAATAATTATAATCGTAAAAAGAGTTATTTTTAGTATTGAAATTAATGATTTCTAATTCAGAAGTTTCAGAATTTTCTTCTTTATCTGTTTCAGAATTAGAATTTTCTTCTGTAGTTTCAACAATTTCATTGATATCATCATTGATATCAGAATTTTCTTCAGAGATTTCATATATTTTGTTGGTAAAATTGTTAATAATTTTGATTTTATCATTTTTGATTGGTGTATTTTGAATGGATTGTTTAAATTTATATTCTTTTTCTTTAAGAATATCAAGTTCATGATTTTCGATATTCATGTCTTCAATCCACAAAGACCAAGATTCGATTTCATTTTTTCTTTCTTTTTCTTTTTGCAATTTCTGTTTTAGTTGAGAAATTTTTTCTTTAAGTTTTTTAATTTTTTCTTTTAGTTCATTTTTTTTTGAATTTTCTCCTGGGTATTTTTCTTTTCCAGTTTCTCATTTTAAATAATATTTTGATGATTGTTGGTATTTAGGCATTTTGTTTTTTTTAAAAAATTTTATCTGAGCATAAAAAAAGCATTTTTAAATAAATTTATTATAATTTGTACTACATTTTTTTAATTTACCAAATATAAATTAAAGTTTTTCCATATTTATTCTTAAATTCTTAATTCAATTTTAAATATTGCTAAATTTGGGCTTGATTCATAAGTTGTTTATGATTGGTGCACTAAAGTATTTAATTTTTTATTTGTAAATTGAAATATTTCTTTTATTTGATTAGTTGAATTTTAAAAACTCGGATCACCAATTTATTTTTTTAATATATTTATTATTTTTACAAATTGAAATTCAGTTTCATTAATTAAATTTAAATGAAATATTTTTTTTTATTATATTTTATATGAAAATTATCTTTACTTAAATAATAGTCAAAAGTAGTTGAATTATTAGTTCTAGTTACGATAGAGATTTCTTGTTCTAATTTGTTTTCAAATAAAAAATAATTAATCTTTGTCAATTCTAATTTATCAACTTCATTTAAATTAATAGTTAATTTAATTATTTTTTTACTATAAGGAGCTAATAAAAATTCAATTTCTTTAATATAAAATATTGTAATAGGATTTTTTTCAAACAAATATATAATCGATATTTTGAAAAAAATATTTATAAAATTTTATTGATCTATTGTTTATTTATTTTTTTTAAAATTTTAATTTAGAAATATTTAAAATAATCAGTCAAATCTCAAAGTATTTGAATCTTTATATGACAGAGTTTTTTTAAAGTACTCAAATCTTTATGTGACATTAATTGGTCAAATTTCAAAAAACTCAGATTTTTCCAATCAATATTTATTCTTAAATTCTTAATTCGATTTTAAATATTTTCAAATTTGGTTTGATTTATAAGATGATTATGATTAGTGCATTAAAGTACTCAGATTTTCATATGATTTTAAATTTGATTTAAAGTATTTCTAAATTTATTCTTAGAAATCTAAATTTGGTTAATAAGAAAGTTATATTTATTCCAAGATTTGATTTTGATTTTGTATTTAATTGGTATATTTATTAATTATTAAAAATAAATGTATAGAGTGTGGTGACTTAATAAAGTGGTGAAGTTGTCGCA